TGCCACTCACGATTCGATCGGTGAAAAATACGATGACGAAACGTATGCGACGATAAAAGAGAGACGGGAAAATCTGCTCGTCGATTGACGAGATTGGAAATATCGCGGATAATCGGGACGAAAGAGAGACGAGGAGGTGAACGGGAGCCTGGCGCCGTTTCGATACAATGCCGACCCCGGGATGACTTGCATTCGTATCGAGCAACGTTAGAGGAATCGGTGGATCCCAGCCACAGGCGGTTTCGTTCGACTTCCTCCTCCTAACATCCCTCCCCTTCCCCTTGCCACGTCTATGAATTCACGTAGCAGTTCACGAGCAACGATTTCATCGTGTGCCGTGCCTCTGCGTTTATTATTAGATTCCATAGTCGTCACCGCGACTCGGCGCGCGAGAACAATTTTTTCCAACGAGGAAAATTCGAATGCTCTTCACGCACGATTCGTTTCTTCCACGTGGAGGGAAAAAATTGAACGGATCGCTCTTGAAAGATACGAAAGGCGGATCGAACTGGGAGGAGAAGAACGGAAGGAAAGGTTTCGAGGAAAAGTTGGAATGAAGGAAAATTGTTGAGGGAGGGGAGGAGGGAGGGGAGAAAAAGACACGACGATGGTGGGAAAAATAAAGGGAGAGGGAGGAAGTTGGGTTAATCCTTCTTGTTTGTCTTTGCGTTAATTATCTAGAATTAAGAACGCTGCTTGTCGCGGAGCACAGGATTACTCCCTCGATTATTACTTATTGCGGATTATTAATTACCGAGAATTACCGGACCTCGGTTGGTTAGGGTTCGCGGAGGGTAGTAGCCGGGAGTTTAAAAGAAAATCGTCTGTGCGTAGAGATATCCGATCGAGTCTCTTCTTCCCAGCGATGGAAGGATCCACGCTTCGTTCGTTAAACTAAGGGAAATAAACGAAGAATACGATGAATACGACGACGAAACGATGCCGGAAGGGAAAAAAGGGAGAAACGAGGGAGATGGACGAAAATTGTGACGAGCCGTAATAAAAAGTATCTGTGTCAAAAGCAACCCCTCCTCGAACAATAATAGAAGCCCTTAAAAACGTAAAGCTGGCTAGCGGGCCAGTTGAGCGCGCGTGGGTTATGAAACCGAAAAAGGGGGAGAAGAAAAAAAAAAAAAAAAAAGGTAAAAAACGGTGAGCGGCCGAGGCAGCTGCCGTATTCGATACAATCGGATAAGTTCTTTGCGGAAGATAAATGAAAGCGCGTTCGAGGTTCGATCGTTGGAAAACGCGATTCTTCCTCTTCTTCTTCTTTCTCTTTTTCTCTTTTTCGTTATCCGCGACTAGGATTCCACCACCTCCTCTCCTCTCCGCTTCGATTTGGAAATCGTACCACTTTCCGTGTGCACGCGCTTAACTCGAAAGCGCGTATATACACCTATTTAATCGCGCATCTAGACTCGAGACGCGATTGTGCATAAGCACACGGCAACAACGAGAGTAGAGTGGAGGGAGGAGGCGAACCAAGGAAATAAATATTAATAACGATGCTTCCTCCCCAACTGTGCCCCCAACCACCCTCCTCTCGCCGTCTCCCTCCCTCCCTCTCTCTCTCTCTCTCTCTCTCTCTCCCC